TCCACATCGGATAGTGTGAAGATGGGAGGCAACCAATACTTGTATTCATGGAAAAGCCGTCGAAAAAGTTATATCCTGACTACTATCAAGTCATCAAAGAACCTATTGACTTGCTCACTATTCAAGCAAACATAAAAAGTGAAAAATATTCCACAGATGATGATGCATTAGATGACTTCAAGGTAGGTTTTGTGTTTTCCTGTAGATTACTTTTAAAGCTACATTGAACATATTCACCAGTTTTTCTTTTGTTTTCTTTTTTTTTTTTATCCAGCTAATGTTTAAAAACTGCCGCCAATACAATGAAGAGTCATCCTTAATATATGAAGATGCTAACAATCTAGAAAGAATTCTTTATGATAAAGTCCGCGAATTAGGTGCAACAGTTAGAACACCCAGAATGTAAGTGTGAAGTCCCTAATTTTCTAAAAACTCTGTCTCATCGTCTTTCTACATTAACCTCTTGCATATGACCCAATTTTCTGTTACATTAATTTTCAAATTTGACAATATCATGTTTACCTTTATTGCATGCCTTACTTGAAGTGTCCGAGCATACACAAGGTGAGATGCTAGTTGTGTTTTGGTGTGTGCTTTTTGTCATTCATATCACTCATAAAGCTTTTTGCTATCTTTGTTAATTCTTTGACAACTCCCATTCTTTTTTCACAATTGTTTTACACATCTCCAGTAAAATTTGACCTAATGCAATATTTTTCTATTCACCATAGAACTTCCAAGCCCCGGAAAGTGATGGGATCAGTACAAAGTATGAAAATGAGGACACTTTTTGAAACTGTCCGAGACTATAGAGATCCAAAAGGACGTCAACTATCTCACATCTTTTCAAAGTTACCCAGTAAACTTGTGAGTTAACCCCTTGCTAAAACCATAACTGGTGTACTGGTAAATAAATACCTATGAACAATGTTTGACACGTTTTCTTTCCCACAGGAATATCCAGATTATTATGAAGTTATAAAACGGCCTATTGACTTGGAGAAAATATCCCAAAAGTTAAAGACTAATGTTTATGAAAATTTAGAAGAAGTTGCTCAAGACCTTATCCTTATGTGTGACAATGCCTGCAAGTACAATGAACCAGATTCTCAACTTTATAAGGTATAAAGCATGATTCTTGCTAATAAAGTTGCACCTAATCTCTCTCTCAAACAGCCCACATGATCAAACTTTTTCATTTTGTTTTCAAGGATGCTCTCATGCTGCATAAATTAACACTCCAGACTAAAATTCACCTACGAGAGGACGAAGAGTCCGTTCCTGATGTTCAATTAGCTGTCCAAGATCTCCTCTTGTCACTTTTTACATCTTTCTACAACCATCAAGATGAGGAGGGTCGATGCTTTTCAGATTCGATGGCTGAGCTTCCTGAATATGATGACATTGATGGACAAAAGTAAGCTCTTTATTTAAACTTTGTCATACAATGATTGTGTAACGCACCATTCTTTTAGTATTGGAAAATATTCTTATCTGTGGGCTTAAACTTTACCTTTTTTTTAAGGGTCCGCAGTCTGTCTCTTGATCTCATTAAAAGACGTCTGGACCGTGGACTATATCGCCGTTTAGATGTGTTTCAAATTGACATTTTTGCTGTGCTGGAGAGAGCACGCAACTTATCTCGGACTGATTCTCAAGCATTTGAGGATTCAGTTGAACTTCAGTCATTTTTCATTAAACTTAGAGATGAGCTCTGCCGTGGCGGTGATCTACTTAATTCTCCGGCCTTGAATTACACTCTTTATACATTAGCAGATGCCGTAGAACAAACACGGCAGCAAAAGTTACTGCAAGAACAGCCAGAAGATGACCTGGAGGCTTCAAGGACTGTAGATGACACAAAGCCAACGGTAATAATTTTACTTCCTGTGTGACATTCCTATTTCAAAGTTTTCAATTTGATTCCTTAATTGGGGGCAACTACTGTGCAATCATGCAACACTAAATAGACGTGTCTTTGAAAAAAAAATTTTTTTTTTCAGGAGAATGGTGATTCAGTGGAAGACTCAGGCATGGTTCATAATAAGCAGATGTATCGGCCTGGTGACTTTGTTTATGTTGAACCCAAAGAGCGTGGAATGGATTGGAGCATTCTTAGTATTGATAGAATGTGGACAGCTGATGATGGAAAGCAAATGCTACATGGGTGTTCCTTCTACAGGCCAAATGAAACATACCATGTAGCAACTAGGAAATTTTTAGAGCAGGTATGTACAACAATGTTAATAATGTTTTCATAGAATTTTCTTGAACTGTTTGAGCTGTTTTCTTAAAAGTTACAACCTGGTTTGTCTGGTAATTAGTCTCTAATTTACTTGTATTTGACTTCAGGAGGTTTTCAAAAGTGACGTGAATGTGACAGTTGAATTGAAAGAAGTATTAGGACTGTGTGCTGTAATGTTTGTAAAAGATTACTTCAAGTTCAAACCTGAAGGATTTGAAGACAAAGATGTTTATGTTTGTGAGTCACGGTATTCAACCAAAGGACGTTCTTTTAAGAAGATTAAGGTACATAATTTTGTCAGATAGAAGAAATTGTAAATTCAAAGGCTCTATTGAATTACTGCCCTTTCATGTTCACTTTTATTTTTCTAGTACTGGCCTCACAATTCAGCTGAATATTACAATTTCATTGAGAGGGAAGAGTACTTGGATTCAAAACGTACTGTCTCAGTTTTCAAAGATCGTATTGACAAGCATAAAGAAGAGATTGCTGAACTTGATGAGAATGAAAAGCTGCCTGATAAAAATCAGTCTGTAAGTGTCATTGTATTCTGTGGTGTGGCCATCCGTTGGATTGCTAATGTTATTCCTTAATTTCAGGACCTTGAAATAGTAATGCCAGAGTCAATGCCTGGTATGAGATACTATGAGCAAATTAATGTTGCTTTTGGGATACTGCGCACCGGTGACTATGTGTATATAAGAAATGATGAAGGTTCTAAACTCATTGGTCAAGTGGATAGTATAGCCAGAGACCATCAGTAAGTATACCCTTCCACACTTGTCTTTTTCCTTTTTTCTTTCAATTTCTTAATTTTCTTTTCCATTAAATCACCTTCTAAAATGTGAAAACTCTTATGTTTTAGGGGAGCAACATACATTCGAGGCCCATGGCTTCTTACTCCACGAGAAATTCCTCAAAATCCCGGGAGGTTATTTTACAAGCAAGAGTTGTTCCTTAGTTGCATTGAAGGCGTTAATCCGCTGCAAAATATTGTTGGGCGCTGTGCTGTCTTAGAACACCAAGAGTACATTTCGAGTAAGTCAACAGTCTTCGCCTATGGAAACTTCTTGATACTAAGACTAGTACAACTTCTTGTCTCTCTTCCTATGTTTTTCTATCAGTACGTGCCCTTTATAGTTTTTATTTTTACAGGCCGTCCTACTGAAGTTCCCGAACAAGATGTGTACATATGTGAGTCTATCTATGACGAGTCTACAAGACAAGTGGTTAGACTCGAGCAAGAAGGCTTGAAGAAGTATTGCCACAGTAATGCAGTGCACGAGGACGAGATATACTTTTTCCGCAGATTAATTAATCCACCAAAGGTAGGGAGGATTTATTTCCACAAGTATTTCTTTAATTCCTAGCGGTGATTAACTTGCATGCTCCGTGATTTCATCATTTGTGCATGGTCCCCTCCACTTCCTCTCTTCCTCCCACTTCTCCTTTCTCCTGTTCAGTCATGACGGCCGGCATTGATTCGACTGGAGCTGGTGCTCATGCGTGGAAGCTCCGGCTCGGATTTAATCAATGAGGCTCCGAAGTGACATACGCCCGCACCCTCGCTGAGGCGCACGATCGGCCCGGGTAATTTAGACGACCCCTCCCCGTTTCCTTTCCCGTCTCGACCGGGGTCTGTGCCAGTGGCGTAGCTCGGCCTGGACGTAAACTGCTCTTAATCGCTGCCTGATTGCTTTGTCGCCGCGCCCCTGTGGACTGTCGTTATGTCTGGAAACATACGAACGAATCTTGGTACAAATGCGGTGATGTTGAGCATGCCTTTTTCAGGTTCTCTGATAACTGTGCATTTTGTATTCGCGTTAACCCCCTCCCCCTTGTAAGCCGACCACGCATTCGCCTTCGAAAGTGTGCCGCCGGTTCAGTTCAGACTGCGCTCCCATCACCACAGTTTCCCGGCCCCGGCAAGCATTCGGACGCAGCCTTTTTCGATCCAGCCGCCGTCGCGTCTAGTCCAGAGCCGAGAACAGCCGAGCCCTGACGAGTCGAGCCGCTCCAGCCGAAGCGCGTGGCTCGTGGCCCTGCGCCGCCGACCGACCGACCGACCGACGCCGGTGGCGCGGGACAGGTAGTGGCGTGGCGTCGTCGTTGGCGAGGCCAAGTGGGGGAAAGAGGTGGGGATCGCTCTGTCTCGCTCTCGCACCTTGGACCGGATGCCTGCCGTTCGTTCCCCCTTTCGCTCGCGGTTGCCGCGCTGCCCTGCCGCCGTGCCCCCCCTCGCACCCCCACCCCCGCACAAGCGCCGGCATCGCGGGCGGGGGGTGCCCGGTGCCCCGGTGCCCAATGTGCTAGCGTAGGTTAGCCCGCGGGGCTCGTGCCGTGCCCGCGCCCCCGTGTTGACTCCCGGCGCGGGGCGGCGCCCCGACACGCCTCACTCGCCTCCACCCCCCAACCGCCACCCTCGACCCCTCGAGGAACCCCACCCTATCGCGGCCCCCCGGTCAGCGTCCTTGACAGCGCCTCTGCCATGTCTGGCATCATGGTGCTCCCATGAAGGACATGCCCCTTCTTAACGATTTGGCCAACCTGCCACCCACTTCAGCTCAAGTAGAGTACCGGGCTGTAAGCGCAAGAAGTCAAGAATATTTGAGGACCCCCCCCCCTCCCCCCATCCCCACCTCATTTCTCCGTCTGCACCGAGGTCCGAGGGGGCGGAGGAAGGGAGGCAAGCGGGAGGCAAACCTTTCTGCCGCGCTCTGCCCTCGCCAACGCGAGTGCTGATGACCATCCCTCCGCGTCTCGCTCCTCGTCTCTATGCCCCCCCCCCTCTCTCCCTATCTCTCTACACACTCGCTGCCCCCTTTCTCTGCACTTCTGGCCTCCACTCTCTCATACGAGGTCCGACGGCAAACAATGAAAATCACACGTCGAGTCGACCTTGTTGACTTGTT